TGCTAAACTATGTATCACCTTAAGCCCATGTTAACCTAGTCTAGCATGTTGTGCAAATTTAGCACCAATTCTGAACTTTAGGCCCCCTCAAACCCATCCCAGAGGCCAAAAGATTTTGGCATCACCTCCTCTGGAGATATGATCTTATCTCCACCACTAGCTGTTCCATGATCCCTGGAGTTCAAGGAAATGGTCCTAATTACAGTGGCCAATGGTAAAGAATGGTCTCACTCTGGGTTTATCATATGTGACAGCAACCAGATATGGGCTGGAAAACTACTCAGCCTCTTGATGGAAGCAAAGAGACACAGAAAACCGGCTCTCTGTTGCCATCTAATGGTCATCCAGTGGTTTGCTGCCGACATCTGGCAACCCTGTGATATGTGAACCCAGCCATTATGGTTTTTAACCATGATTTATGGCTCAGGATGGTGCATAAACCCAGCTGTTTGTGGCTTATTCAGCAAACCATGGCGATGTGCACACCCACAATGACCAAGTTGGAAAAAACAGCTGAGTGTCACAAAAATGGCTTTTGGCTGGAATAGCATTTGTTTCCGCTGCACTTGCCATAATGATCCTCTTCTACATGGCTGTCAAAGGCACAGGGTTTCTTGGTCATCTGCAACTACTCCCCAGAGGCACAAGATGCCTGCAACTGAATGAAGAAAAGAGAGAACAAGAAATAAAGGGAGGAGGGTGTTAGAAGGTTGGGGCATGTAGACATTTTTATATATTAAGACATTTAGATGTTTAAACATTTATCTGTCTTAATATATAAAAATGTCTACATGCCCCAACCTTCTAACAAGGGAATGATGTTTTAGTTCAACTTGAGCAGCGTAACTTGGAGCTTTCTCAAAAACCCAGTGGCTTCCGTGAATGACAGATGCCACATATGGAACTTCTGGAAAGTAACCCTATAGTAGCAGCTACACTTGGCTCCTGGAATTCAGCTTCTTGCAATCCAATGTGCAGCAAAAGAGAAACTATCATAGTAACCCCTAAAATCTGCCTTCAAAAGACTCAGAAATCAATGTGTTGCATGATTTTCTTGCTGCGCCTTATTTATTGATGGCACCCTATTCCCCTGTCTTCAGAGCAGCAGAAAGAGAAAATGAGAAAGAGAAATTGCTGTGCATTCTGCTGTGTCTCCCAACAGACCATCTTCCATCGGGCCCAGCTTTTCAGCAAAGCATTAATTTAAAAATGGGGTAGGGGGAGAGGGGGCAAGAAAGGAAGCAGATAAGCAGTCTGAGCAGAGATAAAAGGAAGGTCAAGTACCCATGAAATTCAGGATAGTCAAGGGAGAATTTCTACAGGCACCACTTTGCCAAACAACTTTTCTCACTCTTATACAACAAGCCACAGGAGTCTATTGCACATAGCTTAAAGAGATGTATTGGAGATGATAGACAACTGATCAGGTAAATGAATTTTTCTTCAACACTGTCTTCCACTTATTTCTCCAACATGATGGAGAGGAGGAGAATCAGGAGTCTGGACTTTGAAGACAGTTTGATGTGAAGAGGCAGAAACAGGAAAATTTAGGTTGGCGAATCAAAGGCAGGGATTAGGGAGGTCTATAGGATGATGGTGGAGAGAAAGGTTTCAATGCCAGGGTCCACAACATTTATGAAGTCATGATTTTCTTGAGTGTAGTTTATCAAACTACAGCTGCCTGGATTTGCACAAGATACTAAGCCCCAAACCATGGTCTTAAAGCACAAAGACTGGATTTCTACAACACACTAGGCCAAAACCAAACATCATGGCTTAGCCTTAGACTGATGTGCTAACCCTGTTCACATTAGCACCTGAGGAAAAACACCTTGCCTTGGGACATAATTACAGAAAAACAAAGTAACGCTAGCAGCTGCTAAAGCACAATGCAGAGAAGATATTGACCAGCAAATACTGCTAAAAAAAAACCCTGGCAATAAATGATGGTTTATCTACAAATTACAAGAGTTTATACAGTTTCACATGTTAGTCCAGGCTTAACCATATTGCAGCTTAGTGCATCATGCAAATTATGTCTTTACCTACTTTTCTTTGAGAAGACTGCTGTTCGTTGCAAGTTCCTTAATTTAACTACGTGCTGTCCTCAGAAAATAAGTAAATAACATGGTTACTGAATTAACCCATTTTCTGGGTTCATACAATACACTGAGCCCTCAGCTACCAAAAAAAGAGACTGAATTCTCAGAGACACTAAGCTACATAAACAATTAAATAATCTAAGCAGGGTTACAAGGTTCAGGTGCCATGCAAATGTCTCTACTAGGTCTTTACCTGACCAGGTGAAGTATGTGAGTAAACACAGCCCATTCAAGCTGTTATCTTAAATTTTCTATCCGAGCAGTAACAGGAATAGCACTTTTGTTTCCAACTCCATCATTTGCTGTCAATCTTTTAGAATAAGGAAGTTGGAGAAAAGGGAAAAGGCATTAATATACAATAGCACAAGAGATAGGATCTTAAAAACACACTAAAACTAAAAGTAGCTTGAAAAGACCCCTTCTAACAGCTGCCACTGGAGCAAAGTTAATTAAAATGAAATTAGCTCTTACATTTTGCTCTGAAACGAATCAAGCTTCTTACACTCTTTGTAAGACGACAGAACAAAGCCTTCCTTGTTCACATCCTTTTGCCGGTATTGTAATGGATCATATTCATAGTCTGAAGGTGCCACAGGAGCCAACTCCCTTGATCATCCTTGTTACCCTTGGATTGCACATTAGACAAACACCCTATTGGGATCCTTACACTAAAACAACGTATTTCATGGGCGGTCGGAACCCAAATATTACATATAACACGACCCTTTATCTGAGCAAAACAGTACAATTGAGAACTGCATAGGTGGATCTGATTGGGGTAAATTGTAGGGGTGACACAGAAATACAAATTTGCATGTCTTTTTAATTCTGCCTTTTACTCTATTTTGTAGCACATGGTCTGATTATTGTTCTGTATTTTGTATTCTGATATAGCCTAATGGCTAATCAATACATTATTATTATTATCTTTGTTAACTACATGAAGCCACTGTGGAAAACGTCCCTTGATTATTGTGTTAGCGTTGTCCAAAATGCATGTAACAAATAGCTGTAACATTCACTTCCTCCATCTAATCCTACAAGAAGGATGTGGAAACCCCAAGCACATGACTGAAAGTATGTTTTGGAATGAATGAAGCAGCGTCAGGAGAAGCAAAGCAAGTTTAGGCTTGTTAAGGCACAATCTACTAAGATGGAAATCATAGCAGCATGAAGAGGGGAGAATCTGCCGGTCTGGATGGACATGAAAGATAGGGACTGAGTTCACACAATCACTAAACCATCGTATCTTTATTTGGTTTTGACTTAGCATGCTGTGTGAATCCATCCATTTTGGTTCACAGATTAGCAAAACGTAAGAATGCAGACTTTGTAGCTAACTCTACAAACCATGGTTGAGTGTAATGTGTGAACCAGGGTAAACATTTCCATCCCTCCTCTTCCTCTGTTGATTGAGTGTATGATCCCCAAAAAACAAGAGAAGAAAACAAAGGTTAGTTTTTGGATGAAAGACTATCAGGAGATCCCAGGGCTGCAGGCGAGTCTGTGAAGTTGAAAAATTATCCCAGAGGAAAGCAATGGCAAATTATCTCTGTATTATCGCCAAGAAAACTAGGAGTCAAGCTTCACTCAAGGGAGTCTTTTCCTTACTGTAATTATTATTTAAATTAAGTGCCTATTGTTTAGGTACCAGACCTGTATTCAACTGGAAAAAGTCCAGGTGTCCTTTAAAAACCTTGTTGCTTGTGTCTAAAATACCTTATTTGGCCTTGCTCAAAGTTAGCGCCTCTATGTTTCAAACCTACATCTAAAAATTAGCTCCCAGCAGCCAACAGCTTGAAATATTTTCCAGCACTGCACAAATATACACATATCAAATGAGAATAAATTTGCATATGTTAAGTAAACCATTTACAGATGCTTCTAGATGACTGCCTTTTAGCCCCAAAGAGGCATTTGTTTTGCACAATTAGATAGAAGTGCAAATACAAGCAATTAATACAGTACTGCGCTATCCAGGACTGCCATTTTCATGGCCAAGATCCTCCAGGAAGGGCTTATCCACAAACAGATCTCCTTCGCTCAAGTTTGCACCATCATATTTTCCTCCCAGTCAACTGAGATTAGGGGATCAATTTATTTATTTATCCATTAGACATAGCCTCCTTCAGTGGCATCTGTGGGGGAGGCCAAGAGCGGAGGGTCAGAGGGATGCAAGCAGCATCGTACTGTTACACAAGCCCCGCCCCTTCTCTATGTGTATCACCACCACGTGCACATCCACGTGCACATTCACCCCTTTCTAGATGGGCACATGATGGTGAGGTTGAACTTCCACAATGTCATTCTGATCAAAGCAACCAGAGCCCACAGATACCACAGCCTATCTATCCTCCAGGTAGCACATTTTTCTCTTTTCCATTTTTTCCCCCCCCAAATCAACAACTGTGTGATAGGTTGGACTGAAAGAGGTTTGAGCAGTCCAGAGTCGTCCTGTGAGGTTTCATGACTGAGGCTCCATCTGGCGCTTTAACTGATAGCGTTGCTGTAGGACAAGTACGCTTGCAGAAATAAGCCAAATGTTCATGGGTCAAACGTGTCTCAACCCCCAAAGTTCTACTTGAACCTAAGAATGTCTGGATCTGTCCACTGGAAGGGTTCCATCCTCAGAAATGTTCTACTTCTAAATGGAATATTCCAAAAGGTTTGAGAGCTGGAACACGTCAGCCTTCCAACATTTGGCAGACTTATACGTGCCCCCCAATTCTCAACCTGGAGGACCACTCTCCACAATCTTTTACCAGGATTCAGCCTCAGTCATGGATTCATGGCTTAGCAGGCTCCTGAGCACTCCTTCTCCTCCATCACCTTTCCTTTTTGCACTAGCAGGTCTACAGATAGAGTCAAATAAAATTCAAACACACCATGTGTTCTGTCCTTCCTTAAAACCTGGTTCTGTAGTTCTTGAAGACTAAGGTGTTTCTGAAGAAGGTTTTGATTGTGCAATTGCCCTGCCCCACTTGCAGCACCAGACTTGGGGATACAGCTATTGTCATCCTGCATTTGTTATGACCCTTCCTAATCATCTTTCTTTCTGCAAAATAAGAATAGAAACAATGATTACCGGTATTATTAAAACAGGAATTGGTTAAGGATGGGATTGCTGAATGCCTTTTGAAGGTAACACTAGGCATTGTGTGGGAGGAAGCTTGGCTGAAGACCTCTGAAACACACCAGCATTTGCATAAATTCATTTCTTGCATCATTATGCATTCGTGTTTGTTTATTTTGAGCAGTTTATACCCTCTTTCATGTCTCTTGTCCAGGAACGATCTACCAAAAACGAAGATAACTATTCTTGTACAATAACTTATTACTATCAGCAACAGCAGCGTTATAAGCCATACAAGTAGCATAAAATTACAAGAGATTGGATTTGGCTGCTTCTTCGACTGATGAGTTATTATGAAAACCAAACCAGACCAATCCTTCCATCCGGGCAGCTGCAGCATTTTTTTTCTTTTCCAATCCTACCAGGAATAAGCCCAGCCGAATCCGTGGGATTTATTTTTGAATAGCTGTGCAATCACTGTAAGAGAAAGGAAAAAAAGAGTGCATGAACACATCTGGTAAATAAAATAGTAAATTTACCATTTTGTAAACAGAACTCAAGTGAATCGTAAATAAAGGTAAATCTAGGCTCAGGCTGAAATCAAAGACTCTTAATGCATCTGATCTAAACAAACTTGATACTTGGCAGCACTGTGTTATTTATGCAATATAGCATTTTGAATGTTCGTATATGCAAAATGTGTATTTTATCAAGAGCACATTCAACAGAGCATTACATTTTAGGATGAAATCCACCCAACTCATCCCACAATTTATTCATTCTGCAACTGTTTCAGGAAAAACCTTGCCCATGAAAATCTGTCCTATCTCAGACTTTTGGGCTATGGGAATAAGGGTATTTTATACAGAGCCTGGTCTCTGTGCCAACCATTTTGTGACAGTGCTCACAGGTTTCTCAAACCGCAAACCCATTTGCTGCCTCTGCAAAGTTGCCATCATAAAAGAGCCAAATATGGCAGGTAATTTAAAGATGGCTAACCTTTCGTCTGACTCTAAGTTTTTTCCATACAAGAACTATTTATGGGATCCTCATCAAGAGAAAAGAAGACAGCCATTCAAATGTTGTGATCTCAGTTCAGCACACTTCCATACATAAAATCCCACTGAATCCCCTGGACTGCAGCTTACCTCCTTTGTGGATTATAGCCAGCTCTTCCATTACCTGCAAAGACCTATTTTAAGATCAAGCATTTAAAAACTCATCTGTCAGGTTGTCAGTTTCGACCTCATTGTTGTGAAGCCAGCAGAGATAGCCTTGCCTGCTTCAGAGATGGAAGACATTATATTCCCTGTCTGTCAAGCAGCGGGAGCATGGATAAATCCTTGCAGATCAAAACTAACTTGAAAAGCCAATGACTACAATTTCCCCACCATGCACCCTGCAGATGTGAGAGGATCACAATTCTCATCATCCTCAGCTGGTGCACCTTCTTGTAGTGCAGGTTAGAAAGGATGGGAATGTTGGTCCCAACACAGAAGACTGGTTGGGTGAAGGCTATTGTAGAGCATGTTTGGTAAAGTTCCACCAACCCAACACTGCAACCAACTTTTCTCAAACATTCATTTTATCTCTGTTCAAGTGAAAAGAAAATTCCAGCACATGAAGCAACATGAAAATGCCAGTCTTGCTTCCAAGATCTCCATCTGCTTTTTTCCCCAACCATCCCACATTGAGTAGAATGGTCTGAAAGGGTCTCTATGCATATTCAGTTACTCAGAAACAAGAATCCTACTTTATTAGAGAGTCCCAGTTCATGGTAAGGCATCGATGAGCATTGACTAATATCTAAAGAATTTTACATCTCTTGAGATCTTCCTACCTAATCCAGGAAGATCAGGAATAGAACAGGGAGGGCCAGCATGCACAAGAATGTCGGTGATAGAGAATGGTGGCATCTTCTAATCAAGATGGAATTCTTTTGGAAATAAGACCCAAAGGTGGCCATACATTCAACAGACTTCACAGACTTCCATTCTCTAGACACGCCAAGCATTTAATTGATTACAATTTTTAATTGGCTTAGAAAGAGCCCTGTGAAATGAGATTTAAAAAAAAACAAAACTATTAAGATCAATACTTGAAACAAACAAACTACGAATAGCACACCTAGTCTTATTTCACCTAAGAGAAATGCCTCTTTTACAATGGCAGCCATAGAACTCAGGAGTCCCTGATATTGATGCAAAGAAATTATGATTTTGCTTCTATAGTACAATTTTACATATACGCAGATTTAAGCTGCAGAAATTAAATTACATCAAACTCATCTCAATGAAAGGATCTCCTTTCTTACTGCAGCTCTATTTTTTTTTTAGTACAAAGCCCTGTGCACTCCCAATCTTGCATCACATAAACAAAAATAAATAACTCAGTCTGTCATCTTACTGAATGCATCGTCTCAGCAAATTGCTGCTTGTCAAACACAGTTTCACTCAGCAAAAATATCAGAAAAGCAAAGAGCCAATTCCTCTCCTGTCAAGAAGAACAAAGAGCAGAAGGCAATTTTCAGAAGTCTAGAGAGGAAACGCAGAATGAAAGCAACTCATTATTATCCTGCAGGATCAGCCCTTAAGTAATTTGCCCCAACAGTTCAGCTTACACTTTTCAAAAGGGGGAAGGTTTTTTTTTTCTTAAAGGGCTCCAAAAACTTACTTGAGAGTTGGGGCTACCAACGTTCCTCAGTTGCGTTTAGGCCAGTCTCTCAACTCAACCTAGTTTACAAGACTGATGCTAAAGGGAAGGGATGGCTTTATTTATGCCTCCCTAAACTGCTTCAAAGAAAGATAACAGACATACATCTATCTTAAATCTACATCCATTAAACCAATTTTAACCGACCTGGTAGATTAAAACTGCCACCATTCCAATCATTGCATGTTGTAGAACTAGCAATGAAAAATGTGAGTTGAGGTATAGAGCGTTTTTGATTAAGGGAGGCTGAATTAATGTGGTAAGAGGTCACACATACTGCCATCTGCATGATTTATTCAGATGGGAGTAGTTGCTAAATCAATTTTTAGGCTGATGAATTAGGGGTACCATAACAGGAATGGAAATATCCAGATGACCACCAGCCAAAAGGCAGACAATTCTAATTCTTGGCCCTATAAAGATTAGACTGTGGTTGGGTTTGTATAGTAGACCATGGTTTATTGAACAGGCCATCTTTGGCTGGGCTTGGCCAACAGGCTAAGCCATAAAGCACGGTTTGCAAACTTCAGTGGCAAAGTTCACACAATGTTTCAGGTCAAAACCAAAGAAACCGCACTGTACGTTCATTGCATATTTTACATTTTGAACAAAGCTTCACCTCTAGGTACGCACCCAATAAGCTATACATGCCTTATCCTTGCACAGCTGCCTGCGAGACCTTGACATTGAGACAGACAGTTGCAGCGAAGTTCACGAGGCCAAGCCGAGTTCACTGGTTCTGATCAGGAAAGGCAGTTATCTAGAAGCAGCACACAGCCCACAATCGACATGCAGGAATGCCACCTGGGGAAACATATAAACACTACCGATTACACCACCCACATTGCATCAACTATTTATAGCACAGAGGCAAAGGAACCAATAGATTGGAAACATTCAAAATGTTGGTTCCTCTTGTTCTAGTGAAAGACAGTGAAATACTTGGAAGCAAAGAGGGACGGTCGATTCCAGGGTCCAGCTCTGACGGGCATGCTCCCTTGCGTTCAGTGTCAACAGACCATCCTTCCGCACTTACTTGAACACTTGCCTTGACGGTATCCTTCAGGCTAACACAACCCATTAGTCACATAAAGTGCCCGCTGACCCTTGACTCTGGAATTCTCCTATAGAAAAGGGGAGCAGTTGGCGGGTCCCCAAGGACTGGTGCACTGCTTTCAGACTGAAGGCGAAGTCACGCTTTGTGCAAGCCTGTGGTACATGTGTGCGGCATGACAGGCCCTTCTACACAATCAGGAGGAAGTACTTGCATTATAAACCTGTAGCACAAAAAGGATACACTTTTATAAGGCATTCTCTTTGAAAAACATGGAACTGACTGGTTGAAAACCCAGCTTCCTACAAAGTATCCAACCCAACAAGAAACAGGAACACCTCTTTTCAAACAATAACACGCTATTAAAGAAACACTGTATTTTCCCACCCCATCTGTGAAACACAAAACTCAGTAAAACAGAACACCAAAATCTACTCACAACACCAGCTGCTTTTCTGTAATATTTTATTTATATAGAAATACTTAAAAAAAACATGAAGTAGCACCATTACTTAAGTTTTACCTTTATTATGTAGAACTTTAAATGTCAGAAAAATAAAACTCTTGATACAATTTCAAATCTTGTCTCAGCAAATATAATATTAGTATTTGACCATGAGGTTAAACGCCCTTTATAAAATAAAATATACTTTGTTTTTAAACTTTGCTCAGTAAAGTACATTTAACATCACCTACATATACAGAAACAAGTGGTAAACAAATGTATTAAAATAGAAATACTAAACTATAGTGGTGCAACAGAATTTTTTTGTAATTTCCATCGGATTCTATTTATACAAATGTTAGAAAGCATCAACAGTTTCTGTTGACATATGCTTAAACGCTTCAATTTTTTGTAATAATATAGAATAAAATATGCTCCATATCACTGAATAGAAAATATGCTGGGTGAAGCAGATTTAAAAGATTTTTTTTCTGAACCTATAAAAAATCTCCATCCCAACAGAATACTGTTCAAAGTATTACACATTTATGGTTTTGTAATTTCATTCACAATTGTGTGATAGCAAAATAATACAGTGTTCTTTGCCATAAGGCCATACTAAAAAATAAAAAAGATTTAACCCAGCTACAAAAAAGTTCACTGAACTTAAATTAAAATACTTGTAAACATCTTTGCAATATGAAATATAATTTTTCAAGTCAAAAAGAATAAAATACTTCAATCTGTATTAATGCAATTTATCTTTTAAAACCTTTAACATTTTATATATATATATATCTGCTGTACCGTACATCC